TAGAGAACCGGAGACCCTTTTTACTGGAAACGAGGCATTCCATCTTAGTCCTCACGGGTGACAACGCATCTGCATTTTGATTCTTAATCGAAGATAAATGTAGATGTCTATGGGCCACAGCAACCACTTACCATCAGGTGGTCTGTGTGCTCGTTTGTCACCCTTATCCTATAAAAAAAAAAAAAAAAATCCTCTTCCAGGTCTAAATCCGCATTGTGCCTCCCATAGAAATCTTTCCGATTTCTCTTGCATCCTACGTGTCAAAACCTTCGAGTAAATTTTACTTGCTAAACTGGTCAAGCTGATCGCCCGATAGCACCCGCAGTCAAAATGTGAACCTTTACCTTTATATAAAGGCACAATGACTGCGGATCGCCAATCATCCGGGACATCCCCCGTCCGCCAGCACAAATTGCACAGCAGATGAAAGCTGTCCCAGACGCGAGGCCCACCATACTTGACCATTTCAGCAGTAACTCTGTCTAGTCCCGCAGCCTTACCACATTTCAAACTTCGAATCGCACGTTCAATCTCTTTCATACTGATGACCTCAGTGTCATCGAGGTAATATATTTTAGTGGTATAAAAATAATAAGGTACAACTCCTAAACTATACTTAGATAGGTAATACCTATCTCTTGTCAAAAACATCTTTATTACATTATTTATGTCAATTAAATGTAAATTATTATTAATAAATTATTTATTTCTTAACTTATTTCCACATTATTGTTTATAACACCTTTATAAAAAGGATTAAGGGGGGACTAAATATCTCATTGGTAGGCATTTACAGTCACTTTTACAATTATTATTGCATAATAAATTGTTCATTTGTATATTTAAGTCAGGATTTAAAATTATTTATTTATTATTTTATTTAAATCTTTACTTGCATAAACCATGGTAGTACAGATAAAGTTCCTACATTTGTAAATGAGAATTTATGTTTAATCAATCTATCTATAATTAAATATTTTGTCATTGTCATGCAATCAAATTACACAAAGAAAATTAATATAAATTACAATAAAATTATTACAAGTCATAATAATACAGAATGATAACAGAGAAATTTGAAAATAAAAAGTCAAAAACCATAAATAAATTAAGCAATGCTATTCAATTTTTAATACATACAGAACAATGTCAAAAATCATAATTACCAACAAGGTCAAACTTATATCACTTATGGGGAAACAACAAGACAACAATAAATTATAACATTTTAAATATTTTATCTTAATTATATTATAAATTACATAAATTAAGCATATTTAGTCCGCCTAAAACAATGAGGCTCAAAATGATTTGAGCATACACTGCTAAGTTTTGTTGGTTATCTATAATCATCAACAGTAGCGATTATCCAGCAATTACGGATAGCTGTTTCTTTAGGAAAGCTGTAAAATAATATATTTAAAAGAAATTAATATATTAAATATATAGTACACTTTTATATCAAGGTATTTAAAAAAATTCAAGTATGAGTATCTGTGCATAAATACAACACCTATAACAATTAATACAATATCAATTGATTTAATTAAATAGCAGGTATATGTAAATGTAATTATAATATTATTCATACCAAACATTTAAAAAAAATGTACATATTAAGCTTTAGATATTGTTAATTAGTACATTTACAGCCTAACAAATGTCCTCCACAGCTGAACATAGACCTCCCACATAGTTTGTCTGCAAAATAACTGCAGTTGCCAATCCTCCTGCCAAGCTAGACAACAATCATAAAACCTATAACTTTTGACTTTTGATAATGACTAATAGTAACGGTAAATATATTATCATAAAATTTTTTCTACATCATTAATTGAGAATATTATCTTAAGTTGTTGTGTTATTGTGTATCTTAAGATTAAGACTTATTTATTTATTATTTTATCTATATTTATATAAGTATGACATTTCTAGTTATTTTTTAATAACTATTGTAATGTAATTGTTGCTAATGTGTGATAGAATTAATGGAATACAATAAAGTTTTGTGCCTGTGATTTCAGGTACATATTTTGTGAAATTAAATATACTTTGTTCAATACTTATGTAGTTGAACCTAAACATGTTTTCAGGTTGATAATTATATATTATTTGTGACATCTATTAATATAGAAAATGATTGAAGAGTTGTATATTATTGCCCAATAAGGAGAGTTTCCTTTAAAGCTGAACATAAAAGTGTATGCATATGTATAACATTATGTGATTCATATTTATGTACATAACTACTAATCACAATAATACTTATTATTGAACAATGGGAAAACATTATTGTACTCGATGATATCCCTAAAGTTTCCATAATCCTACCAAGTCAAAAAGTACACGTTTGTTATGACTTTAAGCTTTGCAATGATCATTCAAATTAAGGAGCATTATCATGAAGAATTTACAATTTGGGAGTCGAAATATTTGACAAAATACATCACAAAGTTCATTAAAAACATGAAATGTTACACTTTATATTCAAAACAACAGATATTAATCAGTACAAATAGCAAATGTAAGCACAAAACAAACTTACCGATGAAAGGTAATATCATCAATTTTTCGTTGACTGATGCTATTGCATCCTAAAATGCTACAACTTAACATCTTTTTCACCTTACTTAATAACTAAAACCCACGAAAAACACTGAATTCAATTACCTGTTTGCTTATAATATTAATGATAATCACAAACGCTTGACATCGTTAATGTCAAATAAAGGAGGGAAAACAATCAAAAACGTATACTTAGAAAAAGACAAGAAATATTGTTTTGCTTCTCCCTTACTCTTATGTTTAACTATATACGTGCATTCCTTTCACACGCAGATGACGTCACTGAATGTTTAGTCTATAAGATACTATGTCTATGTTTTCTTTTGGTTACGGACTCATACGTACATGATATGAACTTAAGACAAAAAAGAAATGCAAATATACTTGTATTATTAGGTGTATGTATGTATTCGAATTTATAATAAAATACCAAATAACATAAAATCACTTAATAAATTATTTAGGAAAAAAATATTGGATTATCACAATGAAAAACAATTTTTAAACATTAGGGACCTATTTATTACCTATTTTATTATGCTGCAGCTATATTAGTAGTATAGTTCTAGCACGAATGGGTCGGCTCGACCGGGGAAGGACCACACTCTCACAGAATACCACCGTAAAATGGCAGCTTGACACTGCTGTGTTTCGTATGGTGAGTGTAGAGAACCGGAGACACGTTTTACTGGAAAAGGGGCATTCCATCTTAGTCCTTACGTGTGACGACGCATCTGCATTTTGATTATTTATTGAGGATGGATGGATATAGATGTCTATGGGTCACAGCAACCACTTACCATCAAGTGGACTGTGTGCTTGTTTGTCACCCAATCCTATAAAAAAATGTACCTATACCAATATATTGAGTCCGAAAATAAATGATAAATAAAATAAAAAAAAATACTGTCAGTCGTAGGACTGCACGTCAGTAGTGAAAAGTTCCTAGCTTCACAAACTTTTTTTATATATCTATCTGAGCGTGACGGTCACGCGAGTTCAGTCGTTTCCCCATCGTGCGCAACGTGCCTAAAGATGTTTTCACTTCAATAAAATATAATCTGTGAGTATAAACTTAATCTGTCAAGTTGTATATAAGTTAAACGATCACTAACAGACTCACCAAGTATTCTTTCACCTTTATCAATGACGGATTAACGAGATTCTACTGTAATATTATTTACCTCCATACCAAAAAAAAAATTTGTACTAAATAGCTTATATGACATTTTATACATGCAATAATCTTATTATGGCAGCTAGTTTTATGTTTCGTTCGTCAAATTTTAATGGTGGTTAGTTTGAGACGAATGATTCCTAACATATTTCGCGAATACTAAACTGCGTAACTCTACCAACAGCATCCTAATCACACTTGCTGATAGGTGGGACTCAGCCATTATGAGGCATTGGTTAAGTCTACATGTAAAACTAAATAAGTAAGATATATGTAATGTACGCGGGATGGTTAATTTGTTAAGTTAAGAATATAAAGAAAAAGAAGTCATATACTAACACTAGTCTTATTTTTTTCATTTTTATTATTATTATTATTATTATTATACATCTATATTCTCCCTATTATAGAGGTAACTTAAACCCTAATCACACGGGCCGAAGCCAAGCGTGAGCAGGTGCTAGGTGATGGTGTAAGCGGAGGTGACGGATGAAGTGGTGAGGAATTTGCGTGTGAGTCGGCAGGTGTTGAGAATGACAGCTTTCTGCAGGGTGTAAAGTGTGTGTTGGGGTACTTGCAAAATATCTAAACTGCGTTGTAGGCTTTTAGGTATGACTCCGGTAGATGAGATAACTATTGGAACTATATGGATGGCTTCTGCTTTCCATTGACGCTTCAGTTCTATTGCTAAATCTTGATATTTTGTAAGTTTTTCAGCAATGGTGGATTGAATGTTATGGGTGTTTGGTATGGCAATGTCAATAAGGTAAGTAGTTTTGTTATTTTTGTCATACATTGTGATATCTGGCCTATTGAAGTGGATAGTTTTATCCGTGATAATGGTCCTGTCCCAGTAAATTCTATGATTATTATTTTCTAATATAATGTCCGGTTTATATTTATAATATGGTGTCATTTTTTGTATAAATTTGAATTTAAGCGCAAGATGTTGGTGTATTATGGAAGCTACCTGGTCATGCCGGTGTTTATAGTCGGTTTGTGCAAGGGCTCTACAGGCGGATGTAATGTGTTGTATGTTTTCGGGACTAGAGTGGCAATGTCTGCAAGTATCGGTGGGAAGGCTTGGTGCGCGTATTATGTGTCTCTGGAAGTTTCGAGTATCGATAACCTGGTCCTGGATCGCTAACATGAAGGCCTCCGTCTCTGGGAAGAGTTCACCGCGCCTCAGCCATGCGTCCGACGCTTTTTTGTCGACATGTGGCTGCTGCAGGTCGTGATAGTGCCTTCCGTGTAGGGACTACTGTTGCCATGAGGCGATCTTCTCTTTTACGTCAGTGATCCGTTCGTTGCGCTGTGTATTTCGGTCTGCAAGGTTAAGTGGTGTGAAGCGTTTGTCGGCTAAGGTTACTATTTCATGGAAAGGTGAGTGTTCTGAGCGTTGATAGAAATATTGTCGAAGGCATTTGATTTCTTTGTTATGCAAGTTGAGTACATCTATTATACCTCGTCCTCCATCGGATCTTGAAAGAGTCATCCTTTGTACGCAGGATCTAGGGTGGTGCTTGCGGTGAGCCGTTAGAGTGGTATTTATAATACGTTGTAGATTGGTAAGGTCACCTTGAGTCCAGCTTATTACACCAAACGAATATGTCAGTATGGGGATTGCGTAACTGTTGATAGCTTTTGACATGTTGCGGGAGTTGAGCTGAGACCGGAATATACTATTGAGCCGATGTTTAAATTTCTTTTTGAGATCTTCTTTCGTTTCCTTTTGATGAATCTGTCGCGCTTGTTGGAAACCTAAGTATTTATATGCGGCTAACGGTTCTAGGGGTTCAATCGTGTCTCCTGATATTAGGCTATAGCTATTACGGTTAATTTTTCGGTTTTTAACCGAGAACGTTTTGCATTTGTCGATCCCAAACTCCATATGAATGTCGTTTGAGAAAGATTGGGTGATGTCTGCAAGGCGGTGCAGTGACTGTGTAGTGTTACTGTATAGTTTTATGTCATCCATGTACATCAGGTGTGTAAGAGTGGTGTGTTTGTGTGGAGTGATGATAGAGTAACCATGATTGGTTTTGTTCAGCATTTGCGAGAGAGGGTTTAATGCGAGACAGAACCATAAAGGGCTGAGCGCATCACCTTGGAATATTCCTCGACGTATTGGAATTTCTGGTATTTCTAAACAAGAAGTTCCAATGGTTTTTAAAGTAGTTTTCCAGTGCTGCATTGAGTTTTTAAGAAAATGTATAATTTGTGGGTGAATTTTATAGTGTTGTAGTACATATAGGAGCCAGCTGTGCGGTACGGAGTCAAATGCTTTTCGGTAGTCTATATACATTGTGCTGATGTTTTTCCTATTAGAAATAGCTTGTTTCATTGCTACGGAGTCTATTATGAGTTGCTCTTTGCACCCCTGACTACTTTTTCGACATCCTTTTTGTTCTTCAGCAAGAATGTTGTTATTGGCTATATGTTGATGTAAGAGTTCAGTTATACATGCTGTAAGTAGTTTATAAATGGTTTGGAGACATGTGATAGGTCTGTATTTGGCAGGATTTTGATGATCTGCGTCTTTCGGAATCATGTAGGTGAGGCCTTGTGTAATGTATCGGGGCATTATGTCTGGTTTTTGTATAAAATTATTGATATGGTTATGAAGTAGAGGGTGAATTGCTGTAAGTTTCTTATACCAGTAGTTATGTATGCGGTCGCTTCCAGGTGCTTTCCAGCTATGGGATTTTTTTAATATATGCACAAATACTTCCAAAGGTATTTGTTCAAATGCCATCGTTGTGATAGTATCAGTTACTTTGAAATCTGTGTTCAGCCATTCCGCCTCTGTGTTTTGTTGTACCGGCACAGACCATATACCAGACCAGAAGCTATGTAATTCATTGGCAGGTGGTAATGGTGCATCTTGCCTATTTCTATGTGTGTCATGTTGCGTGTCTGAAGTCAGGTTCCTGTAAAATTGTTTTTCATTGTTGATAAACTGGCTATTTTGTGACTTCCTAAGTGTACAGTTAAGGTATCTTTTTAATCTGCTAGATGTCGCATTCAGTTTTTGTTTAAGTGTGTCAAGAAATTGTTCATCGCTCAAATTGGGTTCTTCGTGCTGTGAATGTATTCGGTATTTATTTTTTATTGCTTCTACTAAAGTGATGAGTCTATTGCTTCTGTTGCCTTTGATATATTCTGTTAGTCTTCCAATGTCTCTTCTGAAATCCTGTACCTTTTTTGTCAACCTTGTCTGCCAGGCGGGTTCTTTATTTCGAATTTGGGTGGGCAGTGTGTTTGTGTCTCTGATTTTTGTTCCGTTACTTATAGCTGCTGTGTATGCCGCGCAGTAAATTATGGTCTGAGTGGTCTCAAAGTCCTGCTCTCTCGATATGTAATTTGGTAATATTTCAGTGTTTATAAAATCTACAATTTGGGCTAGCCTTTTAGAAGTTTTTTGTTTTGGTATATAAGGTCGTTTAGTTGGGTTGGTGTTCCGAAATTTGTCTATTGCCATTCTAAACAGTTCCTGGATATTTTCCGCGTCGTTATTTTTTATTGCTTGGTTTTGTTGAGGTTCAAAGGCTTGAGTAGGTACCACTGATTCTTCAGTTTGAGATTGTAAGGTTAAACTAGATGAATGCACGGGAGTGTTACTTTCTATAATGTATGGATGAATGTCAGTTTCTTGTGAGTTTTCTGTTTCGGCCGTAAAGGTCGTGTGTTGTAATGTGATATGTGAATAATTACTTTCTAAATTGTCTCGTTGGGAATTCAGCTTGCTTGATATATTGTCACGTATCTCTTGAAGTCTTTGGTCATTAATCATTTTGTTGTTCAATATTACTCTGAGCTGATCTGATATTCTCTGTTCACTTACACCTGTTAACTCAGGATGTTCATCTAAGACTGCTTGATGGAGGGGTCGACGATAAGCTGATTTATTTTCTCCAAGTTCGGTGATTTTGTAGTAATTTCTTACAATAGATTCGTTTTGCTCAGCTGTCCATCTTCTTCTTTGTGTTAAGCCTTGCTGGCTGCTAAAATGTGGTTGCGTGATCGAGTCGGTTTGTATGTGGTTCATATTACTGTGTGTTTGTTGTAAGTATACTGCAACTTCATTCCTTATTTGATCTAATAGTTTTTGTGGGAGTAATTTATTTCTAAGTATAGCTCTGCATTTATCTCCCAATCTTTGTTTTGATGCCTGCATCTGTGGGTACTTATTAGAGAATTCTTTATGTAGATGATTGAGGTATATTTTGCTAGTATTTAATTTAGTGGCTATGAGGTATGTGCGCCAGATGAATGTATTCATTTCTTCTGTCCATCTTTTGCGCGCACGATTTCTGCCTGGGGCGGGTGCAGGTTCAGTGGCGACAGCCTCCTGCACAACGTCCTCAGACATAAGTGATACAGAGTTTGATCTGGTTGAAGACTGGTATGAAGATTGAGATGATGTAGGTGACTCGAATGAATGAAAAGGTGAGGGTGTCAATGAGGTTATATCGCTTAGCATCTCGGAGTCCATATGTGTCGCTTGGGTCGTTTGACGGGTTGCTTTCGCCGCTCGGGGATTCTTCGCACCCCTAGGCCCAGTCTCAGGCTGGCCTCCGTCATGACCAGTGCTGCTACTGGGTCCGCCGAGCACTTGGGGCCGTCTACTTCTTGTTAATACCATATTATTCTCCATTTGGGTTTTGGGTTTGGGACCGTTAGTTGAGGAGGTTTGGCCAAGATGTTGGTGGCTAATAATATGTTCGTCCTGCATCAGTAAGTACAGGGTTTGGTCAAGTCCGTAGTGACCGTTGATATGTTCATGCCTCCCCTTAAGCCCCCCCCACCACGTCAAGGTGGTCCCCCGGGGGGGTTATTATTATTATTATTATTGTTATTATTATTATTATTGTTATACTAACATCTCTATGGACTGAGTCTGAATAAAATATTATTATTATTATAAACACTGATTCAAACTGATTTCACGGAATTGATCGCGATTCTAGACATTTTGAGTACAATGGTATTCAAATAAGAATAGCAACGTCAATGACCTCGAACGAAGACAGTAGTGCTGATAATGATTACAATGATGACGGCTCAGACAGCGATGCAGAGATGGCCGAAATTGAAACGCTAGATTCAGATTAATACTCCCATTCGTGGTTCTTTTGTAAATAAATATAATTTTAAAACATCTGTTTTGCTCACCCTACCAGATTTGAATTGACAGCTATGACGTCACAAATATGGCGCCAAGTCAGAAAGAAAGAAACATTTATTGCAAAGGTCAGTCCTATTGTTATTTGAATCACATAGTACTTTACATGTACACGGGAGAGTAAGGGGCAGAATAGTTTAATGTTCTGATGTCACAGTTTAACCCGGGCTAATTCCCACCCCAACTCTCGTTCCGTAAAATTAGTTTCATTCAAGAAAACAGACGAGCTACTTACAAATAGATTATGATTCAATTCATAAAATGTTTATTTAATATCCTAAAGAATTAATAAGCACGGCCCACACACGAACAGTTGACCAAAGGTATTATAAACCGGTCATGACAAATATTTCCATATACATATTATATGTGGAGAGAAGATACACAATATATGGGATTCATATATGAAATACATTTTATATCATTAAAACACTGCAGCCTGTAATTACAGCACAGTTCACACCAGCATTATAAATCCTTTATAATGCTGGTGCTACGCTATTTAATTTGCTTAGGCCCAGTAAACGTCCATTAATTTCGTGAGGCGATTTTCGCGATTTGTCTACCCTCCCTCTCCTCCTGGTGAGATGTCATGAGACATTTCTGGACCCCTCACCATCAACTCCCCAAAACCTTACTTTAGATTTTTTAAATGCGTATTTTTAGTGTAAATACGTCAGTCTCCAACACCTGACGTAATTAATGGACGCCGACGACGAATAAAGCCGTATATTTCTCTCTATTAGTATTTCTCACGACAGTAGTCTTGCGCGGTCAGCCGCGGCGTCACAGTATTTCAGTTCGCATATTTCCGTGGGACTACTCTATTGACACAGTGACTAGTTAATACCTGACACTAATTACAAACTACTTGTTAAAACACGTTATCAGTTAAATACGACATCAATGACTTCTCGACTTGAATGCAACAGGTACCTAAGTTAAATCTCTATTTGATAAGGATTACTATTGCTGAAGCCATTGTTCTGTGCAAACGACAATAAAGTGTGTAAGGCGTGATTGCGGAAGAAAGCAAAGGAATCGACGGCATAGTTTAAATAAACGTAAATAGAAAATTAACAAAAGTTGATCTTCTACAAGCGTTAACGCCAATAGAAATTTATAAAACTGAATGAGAATAGCATATCTAAACGAAGAGTCACATAAAGTCGATTTGAGTAATTGTGATAGTTTTGATAGATTATATGAAGCATTAACGACTGTAGGAAGTCAACCTAGCGAACCCTGTAGTTAAGATTTCGATGCGGAAATGTCAATGAGGGCTAACAATCTCCTGCTCGCCAGATGTCGCTAGTTGCGACTGAGGTGAAGTTTAATGTTACACAATGTCATTTAACTGAGAATTTAGTTTTAAATAAAAGTTTATCACTTTCTAGAGTATTATATTAATACACAAAACAATGTCCCAGTGGTTTGCTCTTTAATTTTTTGCACGTTTATAACTCAGTTTTTAATAGCTTGGTTTGTTTATTTCTAATGTGATTAATACAAAATATAAAACTAATATTATGAAAAGAAACATTAACCTTTACATTTTTCGAACACATTAACTTCCCCGCTATGAAATCTGTCAAGTATTTCACCTCATTTCAAAGTGGCGCCGCCCTGGCGGCAGAAAAAGTTGCGGATGTCCCCCTCATTGGAACGTCTTTAAAAATTATATTAATGGCGTGATAAACGAGCGGTTCGAACGCGGCGTTTTTTATCCGATCGATTAATATGATAAATCTTTTGCAGCCAGCGAAATGTTAGAATTATTTCACAACATTATAATAATTGATATGTATGTGATGTGAAATGACTTTTGACTTTTTGATTTAAAATAATAACTAAACGAGTTTAAATCGCCTAAATTTGGTAATAGAATTAATAAATACATTGCATAATTTATATTTGCCACTTTTCGTAATGATTTAAAACTTGGTTGGTTTACTGTTCTAAATTAATTTTATTATTATTTAAATAATAAAAAATAAAAAAAATCAATAATGGTAAAATTATCCCGACTCTTTAAAACTTCCTTTTTTTTAATTTGATCCTGTATTGCAGAGACCTTTACAAACATGAATTACACGCAGACCCAGAACCCAATTCCAGAAATAATATTTTATATAGCGGGATTCGTACTCACTGCCCGAAACCAAACTCTCAAATGAATAACATTAGAAACACACCGACTACGTACTTTTTGAAAACTTATATTAGAAAAAAAAGTTCGCCGCGTTCGAACCACCCGTTTATCTATCCCAGTGAAAGTTACCTACTAAAATGTACCATGCAAGCGTTCACTTAAAACTAAACGTTATTTATGTTGTGTTAATGTCGGTTTTTCTATATTTCGTTTTTTTTTTGAATGCTGAAATGCGTTGTTTTTTTTTAATAGTCATCGAGGTCCACGTCGTCCAGCGGTTCGTCGGATTGGAGAGATTGAAAGTCCACTTTGTAGCGGAGTATGCCTGTTTATTAATTTAGTAAAGTTTATGAATACGAATACCGTCATATCCGGCGGCGTTATCCGAGCAGCAGTGAAACAGAAGAGACATGTTAGTTATGTGGATTAGTTATGGGTTCCGTCATAAGGGCGAAAGCGTACATAAAATATCATACGAATGCAGCCGAGAGGGAAAGTATCATAAGTCACAGTTAAACAGATTTTAAAATTACATAGCAAATACCAAATAGGAGTATGCAAAAGAAGCCAAACTCTGAATGTGTCTTAGGACGCCGTGAATTCATCACGGTCTTTTCCCGTGGGTGTCGCGACAGGAGACTATGGAAAGTTATTTGTAGTCTCGTATTTTTTTTTTAATAAAACTGATGAGACAAACGAACTTACAGTTGAGCAGTTGGTAGGTGTACAGTATACAGTAGTATAGTCGTAGCACGAATGGGTCAGCTCGACTGGGGAAAGACTGCGCTCTCACAAATTACCAGCATAAATTAGCGACTTTAATACTGCTGTGTCTCGTATGGTAAGTTTAGAGAACCGGAGACTCTTTTTACTGGAAACGAGGCATTCGTGCTTAGTCCTCAGGGGTGGTAACGCATCTTTAATTCGTAATCGAGGATAGGTGTAGATGTCTGTGGGACACAGCAACCACTTACCATCAGGTGGACTGTGTGCTCGATTGTGACCCTTATCCTATTAAAAAAGTGGCTATTGCATCCCATGAACATCCGCAGCCAACTTGAAATAAAGAAGGCCGCAGATACATTGTTACCTTTGAGAACTAAAATGGAAAACCTACAGCCTGTTACTATACTGGCTCTCCTTACCTTCTCCTACTCTCCTCAGAATCCAAGACAGACAACAAGTGCTACCACCTCTAGCAACACGTATTGCACATGTAAATACTCAAACAGGCAGAGGTGCGAGACATTCTAATATTTCAATCACCAATGTGAATATTATTATAGCAAATCTTTCCTTATAAAGGACAAGTCCACATCCAGCGGTTGACTACGGTCTGATAAATAAAGTTTAAATGTAACACTTGCAATGGTCGATTTCATAATTCAGCAAAGAGCTATTTCGTTGGTTTTTCGTAAGTCTCGTAAGATGGGACAGAGGTCAATTGAAACAGGATATGGACTGCAGCATCTTCCTGATATCATCTCAAAATAATGAAAAATAAACTGCAGTTGCCAACGCACTTGCCAAGCGTTGCATCTACAGATAATATAGCTCCTATGAGACCTAGAGGGGGGCCTGTGATCAACCGTGGACTATGATAGGCTGTAATGGAATTACCGTGAAGTGGAGGTGTATGAATATCAACTGCCTCATATGGTCCTGTGGGTTTCGTAACAGGCGACAGAGGGGAACAAATCAGGAGACGGGCAGCAGCGTCTTTTAAAAATTAAACAACTACAGTTGCCAACTCGCTTGCCAAGAGTAGACACTATGGCAATCTATGGGGGAGGCCTATGTTCAGCCTACGATAGGCTGTAATGGAATAGAGTTTCATTTGAAACCCCCGTGAGTCAACCTTTATGGGTCATCAGTTTCAGAAATGATGTGTGGACTGAAGAAAATTGAATGTTATTCTTAAGGATCTCTCCCGTTGTGGAGAGAG